GGACTCCAACCCAGAACCTTCTGGACACAGAAAGGTCCTGGTTCTCCCGGGACTCCAACCCAGAACCCTCCACTCAGAAACGTCCTGGTTCCCCCGGGGACTCCAACCCAGAACCCTCTGGCAGAAAGGTCCTGGTTCCCCTGGGGACTCCAACCCAGAACCCCCTGGTCCTGGTTCCCCCAGGGACTCCAACCAAGAACCCTCTGCCCAGAAAGGTCCTGGTTCCTCCGGCGACTCCAACCCAGAACCCTCTGGTCCTGGTTCCCTCGGGGACTCCAACCCAGATCCCTCTGGTCCTGGTTCCCCCCGGGACTCCAACCCAGAACCCTTTGGTCCTGGTTCCCCAGGGGACTCCAACCCAGAACCTTCTGGACAAAGAAAGGTCCTGGTTTCCCCGGAGACTCCAACCCAGAACCCTCTGGTCCTGGTTCTCCTGGGACTCCAACCCAGAACCCTCTGGTCCTGGTTCCCCCGGGTACTCCAACCCAGAACCCTCTGGACACAGAAAGGTCCTGGTTCCCCCGGGACTCCAACCCAGATCCCTCTGGTCCTGGTTCCCCCAGGGACTCCAACCCAGAACCTTCTTCCTGTGAGGCGCCGGTGCTAACCACCACACCACACCATGCTGGGAACCACAGCTCCTTATCTTCCAGAGATCATCCCCCCTTCATTTTTTCAACCTCCCTCTGAAAGCCAGATGGAATAAAAGCCGCCCCGATCTGCCTGGGACCGGAGAATGCGGCTAAACTCGTCTCCAAGTTCCCGCTGCTCACAACAGAAAAACCCTTCTCTAGAACCCCTCCGTCGCTCACTGCTTCACTTAAACTCCAGCTGCTCCCGTCTTTGTGCGCCTCCTTTCACAGAGTCCTCTCCCCCCCCCGTCGGAGATAACAGTTTTTTCCAGGTCTCCTAATTCGCCCGCTTTTGGAAAACGGCTTTTTTTCTTTACGCTCCGCGTCACACTCCTGCCTCTCCCGGAGAGACAGAAAGACAGAAAGATACCGGAGACAGTCGGGCTCATTCAGGGCCACACACACACAGAGACCTCCGAGGCTGGGGGAAATCGACAGGCGTCGCCATGGCAACCCCTCCGGGGAATCTGGCTCAGTCCGCTGACCCGACTCTGGATCGGCTACTGGACTGGTGTAGGTGTTTGAGGGGGGGTTGGGGGGAGGAGGAAGGGGGGTTCGAACCCACCTGGAGGTGTTCTCCAAGGTGCTGCGGACTTCATCCATCTGCTCTTTCCCGAAATACACCACGGTCAGATGCACACGGCCGTCCTGGCGCACGCACACGTCCCTGTGGATGAGCACAAACGCACAAAGTGGGGGGGTCGTTAGGCGAGGGAAGGCGCTGATCACACAGGCTTTTTTGAAAAGGAAGTCTGGCTCAGATTAGGCAGAAACATTCAGTCCAAGAACAACTTACTCAAATAATTAAAAAGGCTTGAAGGGTTCGACTGCTTCTGTTCTGCTTTATGTAACAGTATCTAGGACATGTGGACTTCTAGAAGTAAAAAGCCTTAATTACAGATTACAAATTCATTCAGATGGTCATTGTGAGGTGTTTTTTGAAAATCACTGTTACGTCCCCTGTAGGGGGCGTGGCACTGGGCCTTTTTTTCCCCCTCTTCCCGCAACCAATTTCCCAATGTATTCTTTTTGTTCTGAAGAAAAATGGTGCGCCCTCCTGTGTGGCTGCCCTCAGTCTTCCCGAACCGGTGTGTCTATGTGTTTTGTTTGTTTGATCTTGGTACGGGCTGTACTGGAAGTCAATTTCTCCCTGGAGATCAATAAAGTATATTCAATTCAATTCAATTCAATTTATTTGAAACTTCCTGTCTTCATTTCTGTCTGCTTAACACTTTGTGTGTCAGGGAGGGTGGATCTCAGGGGAGGACTCAGGCGCAGAGATTGATGAAAAAGGTTTATAGTAACAAAAAAACACACTCAAAAGGAGTGGATGGAAGACATGGTTCAAAACAAGGCTGTGACAAAACTATTAACAAAGTATCAAATCAAGATTAAACATGACCGTGAACGCAAAGTATCGAATAAGGTAAACAAGGCTATGGCAAAGTATCAAATCAAGATAAACAAAACTGTGGCAAGGCTGTGACAAAAACATGGCTATGGCAATAAAGTAAACGAGGCTATGGCATGGCTGTGACAAAAAATCAAACCTGGCGTGACACAAAGAAACTCAGACGACCAGGTGGAGGTGTTAACTCCACAGAGAAAGTTTGTCTGAACTTTCCTCAGAACAACTGATGGTTCTGTTGGCTTTAAAACCCACTTGGCCTTTTTAACACTACGGCTATAGAACCTTTGATCAAAATAAGAGGAAATGTTAGCCTTTCCTTTACATCCCCACACACACACGGTCAAAAACACAGCTCCTGCACCTTTTAATATGGATGAGGAGAAAGTGTTTGCTCAGCGAATCGCCAAGTCTCCGCCTGGCCGTCCATCAGCTGCTGCAGGTCCGTCCGAGGGGGACGTTTTAATGGGCTGAAACACTTCTACTAAGCAGGATTTACCATGTAAAAAGAGCTGCGATAAGCAGCGGCGGCAGCAGCCCGGTAAATCACAGCCATTAGGCCGCCCGTTTCCCCCGGCGACGGCGGCAGAACGCAGACCCTGAAACCGCCGCGCTCCCCCCCCCGCTAGCTAACGGCTTCCATCTGAGGCCAAAATAGGATTTTAGACTTGGACCGCTTCCTCGTTTTGTTTCATTCAAAATTGCGATGATATTTGATCAGCTCCTTAGACTCTTTAGAAAAAGATAAAGAATTTCGGTGAAAGCATTTTGCTGTTTAACAGTTTAACAAACAGAGCTTGCCTTGACACAGAAATTCATTCCTGTGGTCTTGTGTTGACAGATGAAAACTAAGCTGGAATTTCTGCGTCCATTTTTTATCTCTTTGCAGTCTGGTTGTACCTGCCAGCACCAAATTAATTAACTGATAAGAGCACAAATATGGTTTCAAATAGCTAATTACTCACTACTTGAAAGAAAAATAGCTTTTTAAATGTTCATTTTCTCTTATCTTAACCTGGTTTTGTTTATATGCTCGATGCCCAACCGTTCTGAGACGGTGGAACCGGTTTTTAATAACACAGCGCATCACATTTTTCCAACTGAGTCATGTGGGGTGAAATGAGCTATTAAGGATAATTTATTGCTCTCTGCAATCTGATCTCATGACAAACCAGGAGGCTCTCTGAACAAATGTTGCTCTAATTTTCTCTACTTCTTTTTCTTTTTTTTTCCAACCCATAACACCATAAGCTCCATGTCCTGCTATTGGCCACAAAAGCTTAAAACATTTTTAAAAAAGGCATTTAAAAAAATCTGTATTGAACCAAATCAATGACCGAATGGTTCAGATTTTAAACAATAAACTTATAATGTCTATGTAATCAGAAAAAATAGCTTTAACGTAGAAAATGCCTTATTATTGCGTATCTGGGGAACAGATCGGGGTAACAGCAGTTTATGCCACTGGATGAGATGTCTGCCAGCTAAGTGAGGAAGAAGACATCAGATGTAAATTAGCAATTATGCTATAATCTGGCTCATTTACAATCTCTACTGAAGTGTAAGATTGTTCATTAATGAGCACTGTCCTGATAAATAAATAAATAAATAAATAAAGGGAGAGGGAGAGGGAAGTCTGGATTTCCCTGCTCCGGCTGCTGCCCCCGCGACCCGACCCCGGATAAGCGGAGGAGAATGGATGGATGGATGGATGGATAAATAAATAAATAAATAAATAAATAAATAAATAAATAAATAAATACATAAATACATAATAAATAAATAAATAAATAAATAAATAAATAAATAAATAAATAAATAAATAAATAAATAAATAAATAAATAAATAAGAAAAAGAAGCCGGAGCTAAAACCTGGATGACAGAGCACAGGCACCTGTACGAGGAGGTGAAAACAGCAAATACCCTGTGGAAGTATCTGACCGTAGATCATAACATGGGACACAAAGGGGGTCCGAACTGGACTAAATGGGGCCTCTGGCTGGTTTTATGTTTGTTCTGATAAAAACCTGACGAACTTTTCTGGGAAAACCACGTTCCTTTGTGGAGGAACTTAGTGAGCTATAAGAAGAACCGCGTCCATCTTTGAGCGGGAACTCACCTGAAGTTGTGCATGAACTGTCGGAACTTGTCGGTGCGCCCGGACAGCGGGACCACCACGTTGATGGGCACGCGGGCGGTGTCCACCCTCTCGCTGCTCACCTTCATCAGGGGCCCGAAGGGCCGGAAGAGGACCAGGCGCCGGAACTGGTCTGCCGACTCCCCCCTGAAGGTCAGCTCGTACAGGGAGCCTTTGTCCTTCTCCGTCCGGGTGATGCCTGCCGGGAGGGAGGGAACCTGAACATGAACATCAGCCTCAAACCCAGAATTCCTGCTCTCAAAGGGACGGATTCCTGAAAAACGAAGCCGTTCTGGAAACCGAAAGGTGGTTTCTCCAGTCTGAAAAAGCTGCCTG